ATTAAAGAAGATTGCGACCAAACTTTAGACTACGTCATCTTACTATTCATATCTACGAGATACCACACACTAAAGTCGTTTCACATGCTCACCTTTCCGACGGTGAGACCCATGAGGGACTCGGTAGACGGTCTATCAGGCGGAAACAGGAAGTTAAGTGACCATAAACCGAAATGGACTCACCTTGGAGTTGGAGTAGACAGTCGCGAAGGGAATCTCTACGCCTCCAAGCCATAGCCTCTCAATCTTTTGTAGCAAAGGCTGTGGATCCTGCGCAGCTCCGAGGTCGTGCCGACCCTCAACGACGGTGGAGAGCAGAACCTCGTCATAAAGACTGATCAGAATTGGCTCGGTTACGGTGTCCAGCGAGACGGCTGTGTCTGGGGGACTGAAAATTAGACAAAAGATACAGGAAAAGTGTAAACTGGTCACAATTAATACGAAATGGGAAGCTCATGTGGATTTTATGAGCAAGAAAAGAGGAAGAGATAGTGACTATCAAGAAGTTAAATAAAGGCTAACTCGAAATTGGTACCTAAAATTACAGTCATTCAGCAAGGCCTAAGTTGTAATTAAAGTTGGAGTTTTGGTGAAAGCGAAAACTGTGCTTTCATGTGCCTAATGAGAAAGACGCCAAAGTGAAATGTGGACACTAGAAATCATTCAGTCTGACATTCACACTCTTCACTCTCATCATGCACAACAGAACAATCTAAACTGTGAAAATGCAATGCAAGACTGGGCTCCACTAAGTCTCCTGATGCAATGACTTGCAGACAAAAAGAAAGCCAGCGAACCGCTAATGCAAAGTTTCAACCAAGTTTCTGGCCAACTTGACATAAGAGAAGGTTATTTGATGAACTTTTTGAATCAGTTTAGAACTGGCAAATAGAAACACCAGTTCTAAGTAGACCTGATGGAGAAAAATAACTTGTGTCCGTAACCAATATTCATTTATTTGGCAAAAAAATATCTTTTGTGTCACCAAGTTATATTCTTTAATTTATATAGGAAGTGTATTTATCCTATTTCGTTTAACGTAATAAAGGGGTGGTAGTTGAATTTTTCCCACAATTATATGAGTAGACCTTATATTTTCCATTAAATTTAACATAGCCTGGCTAAAGTAGTCTGTGGTTTTACCATATTAACATCCCCGGGAGGACTCGAACCATGACAGTGTAGAGTATCATTTCGTCCATCATGTGACAGACATCATCAGAGCTGGAAGTCATTTTTGCAAAAGCCTCATGTTTAAATTAAGTCAAGATGGAGGATGTCTCGTGGAATGCATCAACCTAAACGACAAATTAATGCAACTCAACCGTCGTCTTCTCGTGAGATCGATCTACCAGTCTCTTCTGCATGCAGTTAATACGAAAAGAAAGTCTTCGCAACAATCTTATCTGTCTTCGAAACCCGCATTTTCTTCGCGTACTTACGACTACCCATTCGATTAATCAAGAATCACAATTAAAATGTGCTATGTGAAATGTTTGATCTCTCTTATAATTCACATCCACCTTGTGAACCAAGGCCACTTACGGTAGTGTGGCGTAGTGCTCGACAGATAGTGACTACACACTGCACCACCACAAACCTGGTTCGAGACCCGCAAGGGGTGCTGATGAGACTAAGACGAGATGAAAAATGCAATCCAATCCGGTCGAGGTGAAACTACCTTTTTGGAAACAAGTCTGGGTTAAATTTAATGGAAAAGTGAGGCTTATCTCTGAAATTGTGAAAATAAATTTCGCTTTTAGTATTTCCTCACATTATGCCACCTACCGAATATGAATATATCTACTTACTCTAAATATAAACATGAATGGGGCTTGATAAAGGGAACACGAAGTTCCGCAAAGCAAGAGTAGGAGGAGGAGGAGGAGGAGGAGGTTTGATCAACCTCGAATCTG